GCTCATAAGTCTCCTTGTCAGATGCAACCACACGAAGCCAATCACGAAGGTTGTTCTTCTTAAGGTATTTCTTGGTAAGGTATTTCAAATACCTTTTAGAGAACTGTTTCTCAGAAACAACTGTAATTTTATTCTTGAAACGTTCAATGTGAACAACATTTCCAAGATTTCCAGTTTTTCCATTGACTTTAACCTTCTCTCGTAGAAATTGTTCCTATTTTAAAACAGAAAAAGTGCACAACTAGGGAAGAAAACCCTAGATATTCACTAGGGAAGGTACCCTAGGAATGAAGTTTAGGTTAAAAATCAAGTATCATATACACAGACCGTTTTCAAGAACTCTACTATGATTACAAAACCAAGCAGTACAGTAATACTTACAAAATTCCCGGAATCAAAAATTCCATCTTCTACTGGATGAGTAAGGTCCAAATTAAACTTCCAGGTTGACCTTTTAGCCTTCTTGTCCTTCTGCTACAAAACAGTAAGTCTCATGAAATATTAACTCACTTTTTTTTTTTTACTTTGTATCAATGAAAAAAGTACTTTTGAGAGTATATGTACAGAAATAAGGTCAATCTTAAAGGCAAATCTGTTAGGCTGTTTTACAAAATCAGGCTGTATGAACAGAAGTACACAAGCTTTTGTAATGCAAGATTCAGTTTACCGTGTACGGTTAGTTACTAGTTTCATCAAAATTTCCAAAAATCCTTTTTTTTAATTATTATTTGGAAAACGTTAACAGGAAGATCTATTTAGTGCCTACGAATTGAGCCCAGTTGTAAGCCACCTTGATTTAAATGGTAGTTTCCCCATTCATTAATTCCAGGCAGTATCCAAACTACTCTAGTAGCATACTGGTTACGAATTGGGCTGCTAACCTGAAGGTCGGCAGTTCGAAACTACCAGATGTTCCGCGGGAGAAAGATGAGGCTTTCTGCTCCCGTAAAGCTTTACCGCCTCGGAAAACCTGTACAAGAAATCGGAACCGACTCCATGGTACTTAACAACCTCTCCAGAGCATTCACAAAGGGAGACTCAGAACACCCAAGAATTCATTTGAACGCTAATCATGCTAACCAAATTTATCGGAGAATATTCATTGTTTTATTACTTATTAACGTAGCCGATTTACTAGAGCCATCTCCACTGCAGTTTACCCTCTAACCCAACTCAATTCAGACCTGCCGCCCAGACTTCTTCAAACTGTTACAGGTGAGAAAACAGGTTAGCTCATTATCTTTTTTTCTTTTTGGTAAACTGCCGATGAAGCGTTTCAAATTATCTTAGGGCCGGGTTTAACATTTTAAATTTACTGCTCTCTTCATTAATGACTTAACATTATCATTTTTACCTATATGCGCAACAGTCACGATTTTACAAATTAAACTTCAAGATGAAATAATGAAAAAAGCTTACTCCTAAGTTAGTTTTAAAGTTCTCAGAAAGTTTTGTACCCGAGGCCACGTTAGAAGCCGAGCCGAGGCGCTCCTTCCGGCGCTGGTAAAGCCATCCGAACAACACTGATTATCACCCTCTTCCCTGTCCCGGCGCAAATGAGGTGGCATCGATATTACCGATGCGAAGGAAGAAAATGGTCCCCCCCACCCCGGGCCCATTCTCCGTCGAGCCTCCCTCTCCCCGATGCGTCCACAACCTCCCCTCCTAAAGCCCCACCGGGCTGCAAGGGAGCCGGCAGCGCAGAACATTTGAAAAACGATTCCAGATAACAGAATCTCGTTTATGTCCTTGGCTCCAGTCTCCACGTCCCCTACATTTTATCTTAAATGAGATGGCCACACTCCCCAAGCACAAAACCCATCAACATTGGGGAACACATAAAGAAAACAATCACTCACCGGAGCCATCTTAAGAGCCGGCGATGTGACCAAAGAAGGAGGAAGTGCCCGCGACACGTATTTATACCAAAGCGTGCTGCGTCACGCGCCGAGAACGTAAGCTCACAGCTTCAGAGAAGAGAACGTAGGGAGGAGCGAAGAGCCCCTTAACCCAGGTCGGGAAGGCGTGGTCGGGGAAGGGTGGGATCCGCTGGCATTCAGGTTTCCTAGGAGCGCCGACCCGCGGTGGTAGCTGGAATAATTAATTCATTGCTTTGGGATGCTGGCAACTGGCGCCGGCTGACCACGGCAGTCTTTGTGGTTACCTGTACCTGATGACCGCTCCCAGGTAGACTCTCAAGGATGCAGGACTCATCTTTCACTGATCATTGCATCATCTTTCCAAACAGAACAGGCAAAGTCGCAGGTTGCGTTGAGATTCCTTCTTTGTAGTTATGCTCTTCCAACGAAGTTATTTTTTATAGCTGTTTCTTCTATGGACCATGTTTACTAAATCACTGTTGATGGAAATCAGTTTGTCTTAAAAGCAAAAAATTATGTCCTCGAAAGAAAAATCTAAGAGAAAAACACGTGCCATTTACTTATTGTTCACCCTTTGGGTGTGAGTTATTCTATCTTACAGGTTTTGGTGTCCTGGTGTGTCGCTGTAGTATAAGCTCTGGACTACTGTTCACAAGATCGGTGGTTCAAACCTGTCAGTGCTCCTGGGAAACCCGATAGAGTCGCTGTGAGAACTGACTCGTGGCACTTGACAACTAATAAGATTTAAAAGGAACTTGAGGATGGAGGTTAGTGGCGAGTCATGAGTTTGAACTTGGAAGAAATTTACTCAGATCAGACAGTTCTTTAAACTTGAAAAATGCTGAGTGTGTTCTTCCTTTTGATTTTCTAATTCCTGGTCTTTGCACATTTCATTTTTATACTTGACTTTATCTCCTTGAAGTGTCCTATGAAATTTTTTGTTCAGCCCTGTTACTTCCTCATTTCTTCCAGTTGCTTTAGCATCTCTATATTGGAGAGCAAGTTTCAGACTCTCTTCTGACATCCGTTTGGGTCTTTTCCTTCTTTCTTGTCTTCTTAAAGACCTCTTGCTTTCTTCCTGTATAATGTTCTTGATGTCAACCTACAGTTCTCCCGGTCTTCACTCTTTAGTGTATAATGCATCCAATCTGCTCTTGAGATGATCTCTAAATTCAGGCGGCATATGTTCAAAGTCATATTTTGTCTCTCATGGACTTATTTTCATTTTCTTCAATTTCAGTCTGACCTTGCATATGAGCAATTGAAGGTCTGTTCCACAGTCTGCCCTGACCATGTTTTGGCTCCTGAAATTGAACTTTTCCACTGTCTCTTCCCACAGATGTAGTCAATTTGATTTCTGTGTTTTCCATCTGGTAAGGTTCATATGAGTACTTGTCTTTTATGTTGTTTTAAAAAGGAATTTTTAATGGATAAGTTATTGGTCTCACAAAATTCTATCATGTGATCTCCAACATAATTTCTATCACCAAGCCCATATTTTCCAACTACTGACCCTACTTTGTTTCCAACCTTAACAATCCAATCACCAGTAATTGTTAATACATTTTGAATACATGTTTGACTAGTTTCAGACTGAAGAAGTTGATAGAATTCTTCAATTTCATCGTAACGGTTTAAGTGGTTGGTGTATAAAATTGAATAATAGTGGTATTAACTGGTCTTCCTTCTTGTTGTTGTGTATCGTGGAGTTGGTTCTGACTCATAGTGATCCTGTATAGGGTTTCTGAGGAGCATTCATAAGCTTATTTAATGAGGCTCTCAGTATGTTGCTACTATAACCCTGACAAGGGTATTATGAAAAAGGGAAAGTATGGACCAATCTAACTCATGCATACATATGTTTTAATAAAAAATATGTGTTGTTAGATGCTGCTGAGTCATCTCCAACTCACAGTGACCCTATGCATACCAGAATGACACACTGCCTAGTCCTGCACCATCCTCTCACAGTTGTTGTTACATTGAGCCCATTGCTGATGCCAGTGTGCCAATCCATTTCATTGGGGATCTTCCTCTTTTTCACCGATGCTCCACTTTACTAAGCATAATGTTCTTCTCCATGAATGGTCCCTTGCAATAACGTATCTGAATAAGAGAGATGAAGTCTCGCCATCCTGACTTCTAAGAAGCATTCTGACTGTACTTTTTCCAGTACAGATTTTTTTTGTTCTTCTGGCAGTTCATGATACTTTAATATTCTTCTCCAACACCATAACTCAATGCATCAATTCTTCAACAGTGTTCCTTATTCATTGTCCAACTTTTACAAACAATCGAAAATACCATGGCTTGTGTCAGGCATACCTTATTCCTTAAAATGATAGCTTTGTTCTGGAATACTTTAAAGAGATCTTTATGCAATAAGTCATTTAGTCTCTTGACTGTTGATTCCATGAGTGTTGATTGTGTATGACAACTTCAATCTTTTCACCGTTAATCATGATGTTATTTATTGGTCCAGTTGTGAGCATTTTTGTTTTCTTTACATTGAAGTGCAATCCCTCAGTAAGTATTTAAGTTCTTTTTGCTTTCGTCAAGCAAAGTTGAATCATCTGCATATCACAGATTGTTAATGAGTCTTTCTCCAATCCTGATGTCATGTTCTTCTTCATATAATCCAGCTTCTTAGATTATTTGCTCAGCATACAGATTGAATAAGTATGGTGAAAGGATACAACCCTAACACACACCTTTCCTAATTTAAAACTATTCAGTATAGACTTGTTCTGTTATAATGACTGCCTCTTGGTCTATGTACAGGTTCCCCATGAGCACAGTTAAATGTTCTGAAATACTCATTCTTTACAAAGTTATCCATAACTTGTTAAGATTCACACAGGAAAAACCCTTTGCATAATCAATAAAGTGCAAGTAAATATATTTCTGGTATTCTCTGTTTTCAGCCAAGATCCATCTGACATCAGCAATTCCACATACTTTTCTGAATCTGGCCTGAATCTCTGTCAGATCCCTGTTGATGTACTGTTGCAGCCATTTTAAAATTATCTTCAGCAACAATTAACTTGCATATGATACTAATGATACTGTTTAATGATTTTCTTATTCCATTGGGTAACTTCTCTTTGGAAATGGTCACAAATATGGGTCTCTTCTGATCAGTTGCCAAATAGCTGTCTTCCAAACTTCTTGGCATAGATGTTTAAGTGTCTGCAGTGCTTCATCAGTTTGTTGAAAGATTTCAGTTTGTGTTCCATCAATTCCTAGATTCTTGTTTTTGCCAATGCCTTCAGTAGAGCTTGAATTTCTTCCTTTAATACCATTGATTCTTGAGTATATGCTACCTTTTGTAATGGTTGTATATTAATCAATGATTTTGGGTACAGTGACTGTATTCCTTCCATTTTTCTTTTTCTGTTTTTTTTTTTTAAGGTTTTTAGTGTGGATTGAGTAAAAGTTTATAGGTCAGATCATCAGTATGATTCAACAAATCATACACCTTGTTTCATTACAATGATTATAATCCCTTCCATGTACCATCAATTAACATTGTTTCTCTCTATTCACTTTAGCTCTTTTTTTTCTTTCTTTTTTTTTTAAACTCAGGCATATATAATAATTGGCATTACCAAAGGTCAGGGAGCAGCTAAGTGCCTTGGATTAGAAAGTACTGGATTTCTTGCTTCTGCTACAAATCCCACTGGCTATAAGCCTTCCAACCTTCTAAATATTCCTTTATATGTAGTTCAGAGTTCTGGGACCATCCCCTGAGCCTGCTTGGTCCAGTATTCTGTGTTGTTGCTGATGGAGCTCCTCACTGCACTTCTACTCAATCCACCATCTTGTTTGTTCCCAAAAAAACCCTCCATTTTCCTTTGATGCTCTCTGAATCATTCAAAAATTTGCTTATGTTGTTGTTGTTAAGTGCCATCAAGTCAGTTCCAACTAATAGAAACCCTGCATAGGATTTCCAAGGAGTGGCACTTCAATTTGAACCACCAACCTTGTGGTTAGCAGTCTGGTGCTTATCTTACAGTGCACATTTTGCCCATAGAATTCTTAAATATTTTTCCTCAGTTTTTTTCAACTTGAGAAATGTTGAGCATGTTTTTCTGTTTTGGTTTTATAATTATAGGCCTTTTCATATTTCATTATGCTTGACTTTGTCTTCTCAAGCTACCCTTTAAGATTTTCTGTTCAACTCTTTTACTTCCTCATTTCTTCCAATCCATTAGCATCTCTATGCAGAAGAGCAAGTTTTAGAGTCTCTTCTGACATTCATTTTTATCACCTGTCCCCTATGGGTGATCCTCCTGGTATTTTAAATACCAGTGACATAGCTTCTAGTATTGCAGCAACATGCAAGCCACCACAATACAACAGACTGACAGATGAGTGATGGAAGCACAAATATATTACTAGAAAATTATATATCAATGGGATATCAATTTGAGCAATAAAGCCATTATTTGTAGTTGATTAAAAAAAATGTAAAAAATTTAAATGACTCTCCAGATAGACCACAGACACATTCACACATGGTTGATTTATGGCAAAAGTGATACTTCAGTACAGTTAGGAAAAGATAACCATTATTATTTTTCTAACTGAAAAGATGTCAATCAAAATATCCTACAAATGCAGAAGTGTTATGATCAACATAAACCTTTAGAAGCCACAATAGTGTTTTATACTGGAAAAATTATAGATATTTTTATAAATGTTTGTAAATAACCTAATAAACATTTATCTATATTTACCATTTTGAAGTTAACTGGAACAATGTCAGTCAAAATATACCCACAAATACAGAAGTCCTGTGGACAACATAAACTTTAAAATTCACAATAGTGTTTTATACTGGAAAAATTGTAGACATTTTTATGAATACTTGTAAGTAACCTAATAAACATTTATCTATATTTATTACTTTGAACTATTAAAAAAAAATGCTATGACATTTAAGAGAGTCTAGGTGTGGCACTGCAGGGTAATGCCAGGACCACAATGTTGCTTTGAACTGCAAGGTCACAGTTCAAACCTCACCAGTCATTCATTGGAAACACTAGACAGGGTCATTATGAGTCAGAACTGACTCAATGGCACATAATAACAGTATAACAATAACATGACATTTAGGCACACAGAGTTCCCTGTCATGGTCCATTTGTATTACACAGAACTTCTGTCCCTGCAGAATATTTTTTAGAGCCATATATCTGTCCTAGGGGTCATAAATCATGCGAGGTTTCTTACAGGATTAGATGGTGTGCCTTATGCTATTCAGTGCTCTCTTTTGGAAGATGTCAGCTTTGTTTATGCCACAAAGGTTCATACTGTATATAGAAAGCAGACAATGTCTACACCTCTGAAATGTGCTTATTAAGTATTAAAATCCACCATTATTGGCTATAAGCTCATTTATAAAAAAGAGTCTGTAAATTTTTCTTTACCATAACAAATCTTTCCAGTTATCAAGATAATCACCATTTAAGCATTATAGAAATACAGAATTGATATGTGTGTGAAATATACCCTAGTATTCCTTTCTGTGCCATGTGCTACAAAATGGAGCCTGTCAAATGTCACAAGACATTGCAGTACCCACCTCTACCTAAATTCACTCCAATGACATTGCAGCGCAAACTGTCCTATGGAGCTCAGGTGTATAGTGTTGACTATGGGTGTGCTGCAGCCCTTATGTGCAAACAACAATGATGAGAAACTGAGGAGAAACTTACTACTACTAAAGAACATGATAAACAGAGAAAAGATTGAAGTTGCCAAAGACTTCATCTTACTTGGCTCCACAATCAACACTCATGGAAGCAGCAGTCAAGAAATCAAATGAGGCATTGTGTTTGACAAATTTGCTGCAAAAGATCTATTTAAAGTGTTAAAGAGCAACGATGTGGCTTTGAGGACTAAAGTACACCTGATCCACTCCATGGTGTTTTCAATTGCCACATATGCATGTGAAAGTTGGACAATGAATAAGGAAGACAATAGAAGGATCGATGCATTCACATATGGCATTGGAGAAGAATATTGAAAATACCATGGACAGTCAAAAGAACAAACTAATCTGTCTTGAAGAAATGCTCCTTAGAATCCAGGATGGTGAGATGCAGTCTCTCATGCTTTGGACATGTTGTCAGGAAGAACCAGTCCCTAGAGCAGTTCATCATACTTGGTAAAGTAGAGGGTCAGCAAAAAGAGGAAGACACTTAATGAAATAGATTGACATAGTGTCAGAAAAAATGGGCTCACGTGTAACAAAATTGGAACCAATTTAACAGCATCTCAACAACAACTGAAGGACATTGCTTGAAGCCACTAACCTATGTATGGTTCTTTGTTAGACACTCAGTAAAGATTGTTAAATGGACCAGGCAGGGGAAATAGAAACTAAAGTCACTGCAGTTTGTCCTTTCTTTTTTTATTTGATAAGAGTTCATTGTTGTTGTTCAGTTCCATTGATTCAGTTCAGACTCAGCTGTCTTGTACAGGGTTTCTGAGGAGCTTTTGGTGAGTTTAAACCATCAAGCTTATGGTTAGCAGTCCAGTACTTATCCTATGATGCTCACACATTAGTGACTATGATTTCAAAGGTTAATGTTTGTTTCTATGAATCTTTCATCTTAGT